TTGTACAAATCGGAGTTTTTCTATCTATGCCAAATGTGACATGTACATTTCTCCTGTGTGAGATCAATAAAGTCTATCTTATCATATCTTATCTTTTATCGTGTTTGAAAAGTTCAAATGTTGTTTTCTCTTGTGTTGAATCAATCACTAATCAATTCTTATATTGCTTAATTAGTGTGAATTATTTATTTGTGATATATAGGTGTAATGGAACGTCTGCGGGCTTTAATTTGTATGATTTCTTGAATTAGGTGTAGGGCCCTATGCTGACTTGTGCTTAGGGCCCCAACAAGGCAAGCACCAGCTCTGATTAGAGAACAGGAAGCGACCAAAACACTGTCTTAGTTAAAGAACTCAAACATCTGCAGAAATAATTTAAAACAGTCACTTCTATTAATAGAGACAGAAAAAATTAAATGAAGTGAAGGATTTTTCCACATGAGCGCAAACATCAGTCTGTCCCTGCAACAATGAGCTCACAGCGCCCCCCTCTGGCAGAAGTGCGTCACATGCTCCAGACTTCAGTCAATACGTCTATCCTGTAGCCTGTGTGTGTGTGTCTGTGGACCATGTTGTGTAGTGATGAAGAAGAAACGTGGTCTTCATGAAACTGATCCCAAACATATCGCCATGGCAACGGAGGAGAGGCCCCAACATCCTCAACATCACAGACAGCTGAAAAATGACAACTTCCACACATTTACTCCAACAAAGATGGGGAGGATATTATCATGTAGAACCTCTGACACTTTGAGCTAATTGTTCATATTACAACATGGGACACTTGTCATGGTTTAGGTTTATTTACTATTTGCTATTTGTCAACTTCTTGTTATTCGCAAATCCCGGTGCATTACCGCCACCTACAGGTTCCACTTAGACCAGGATGTCACTGGGCTAATATTACTGATAATAAAAACTAAGAAAATAAAACAAGATAATTAAAAACTCAAATGCGTTCATACAATATATGTCCATAACGCCTTACAACACTCACTTTTAGCTCCCTGTTGCAGATTGACACTCATCCATCCATCTTCTTCCCCTTAATCCATTTCTGGGTCAGGAGGGTGGCAGTCAGATGCACCCAGTCCACAGAGCACCAGCCCCTCACTGATCCTCCAGCAGGTGGTCAGTCCACAGGAGCTGAGATCTTTCAGCGGGGGCTTCAGGCAAAGTGACAACACAGTTATACTTCATAACATGTGATAGAACCACGAAACACTTCATATCAGAAAGATACGTTCTTAGATAGAAAAGGAGAATTAAAACACTGATAATCATTTTGTATTTAAAAAAAAGTTTCTGTGGCTGCACTGAAGCAGTTCCATTTTTGTGTGTGATTATAGACAGGAATAAACGTAATAATGTGTTTATTAGAACATTTTAAAGTGTAAAAAGAGTTTTAAAAAGTGTAAAAGAGTAGACACAAAAGAACTGTTGTGGAAATTCTGTAAAGAGGAAACCTCACGAGTTACAGAGCTGTAGGAATGAGAAGCACACTAGATATGTGAACGTTCAGTACTGCACAAACCTTTCATTCAATTCATTCTTGTATAGTTCTAAATCGCAACAGTAGTTTTCTTGGAAGGCTTTACAAAACCGTTGAAACACAGATCAGAGAGTCCAACAGTTCAAACACAATACATTTCCCTTATAGACAACAATAAATAAACATAAGTCTACTCAGATATTGAATAAATGCAGTCACCATTTGTCCTCCTGTCCTTTTAGATCTGATCCCAGGTCTGATGTGTGATCCCCTACACAGACCAACAGATACATGTGTTTACGGTCTTGAACACATCTATCCATGTCATATTTCTACAACAGAACTTTGGATGTATTGAGGACTTCTGTGATGTCTGTGTTAAGGTGCTGTCTTTTGTATGGATCTGGAGAGACTCAGACAGACACAACAGGGGGTTTATTAGAATTGGATGTATGGGTTGGCAGTTAATCTGACACTAAAGAAATCAGCACATAAGACTCTGAAGACAATATTTTCAAGATTACATTTATTGCAAGTTGTACAAGAAATGTTGTTAAGACATAGAGCTTAGACCCATAGTACTGGGATTATGAGACCTTTATCCTGGTGGTGGATGGGAGAAGGAAAGAACTGTGCATGTTCTGAAGGCTTGATACAGGGCGATGCTTGATTGGTGCCCGGTGAGATAAGATAAAAATAAGAAAAAACTTCACTGATCTCACAATGGAGACATTTACATGTCACTTTTAAATAGGATCCTTCAGGATGTGCAAAAAGACAGGAAATGTGCAAACATGTTAAAAAGTAAAAAGAGTATCTTTTCCACTCAGCCACCGGGCGGCACGGTGGCTGAGTGGAAAACACTCTCACTTCTCAGCAAGCATGGTAATTAATAAAAGCAAGTAAATATAACTATTATTGTGTCAATACTGTGCAAGTGGGCCTAAGTTTTCACACATTCAGTATGAATGGCAAACAAGGAAAAAGGACCAAAAAAAAACAACAACAACAGAATAGAAAGTACAAATATACAGTTTTGTTTTATTAGCAACAATCCTGCTCAAAAATGAGTGGGAAGACTTTTAACTCCCACCCTCTATTTATCATTCTAAATTAACTTAAATGATGTGTGACCAAAAATATGTTTTCTCTAACTTTTAGGATCAACCAATCACAGCGTCTGTAATGATGACTCATACCTAGCAACAGGGTCGGCCACGCCTCCTCACTAAGATAAAGAGTTGTTGTCAATTCCTTGCTCAGAGTTCTCTAAGAGTGTTCTGGAATAACTTTTAATCTAAGACTCCAAGCAAAGAGTTTTTAAGTTAAGTTAGGAGCTCTCTGAGAGGACCCTTAGAATCTTTAGGAATACGGCCCCTGGTCTGTGAAAGGCGGTATACAGTATAAATAAAGATTAATTACTTACTACTAACTTACTTTTTGTGCAATAAAAGTTGGTGTGGAGGATTGGCAGCTGAGTGTGACAACTGATGCTGTTGTTGTGAAGTCACAGGGGGAGGACTGAGAGCAGTGAGCTTAGTTCTTTTTTAACTGAACCTCCGCTTTAGCTCCATTTGTGTCTGAGCGAAGAACTGCATTTCATGTTCTACGCTAACCCCTGTTGCTTCACAACAGTACCAGTTGTCACACTCAATCACACTCGTGCAAGTATCATATTGCACACAAGATACCTTTACATATACTGTATACGGTATTGTTTTAACGTGTTGTGTCAGGGATGAAGCAGACAGAGACGGATCGTGGTGTGCCAAACTCTGGAAGTTTATTTAAGTTTCTCTCAAGTTCCAGTTGTTTCAATTGTTTCTTTCTCTCAGACAGAATAAAGGCAGTACACAGTTTATATAGTCATTGTCACGTCACACATCGAAAGACATACGTGTCACAAAGAGACAGTCAAATCATAGTCATAACATGGAGTCCTTGTGGAGTCCTGCACGTAGGCCATATTGCTATCTAATACTAACAGTTGTTTGCACATTTCCCTGAGTGATCTTATTGTAACCAAATGTAACATGTACATTTGTCCATAGTGAGATCAATAAAGTTTTATCTCACCTTATCTGATTCTATCTATAAGAATTATTCTTTAAAATATACCTTAACCTCATGCCTCAAAGTGTTATATTCACAAAATCACAACAAGTTATGGAATTATGCATTTCCCCCAGTTACAAAAGTAAGGAACAAAGTTACTCCAAACCTACCCTTGAGGGTCTCTCTGGTCTCTCTCTGGTCTCTCTCTGGTCTCTCTCTGGTCCATAGAGCCCTTAAAGACCTTATGCCGGGTTTGATTTATTTAGAAATACAGTTTTAATACCATTTTATATTAGAAGAGAACTACTAAAGGTTTCAAAATCAGTTGTTGTTTTTTTTGTCTGATCCCCCCAAATCGAAATAACCCCATAGCAACGCCCTTAGAAACGAAAAAACTTCACAGCCCATGGTGACGTCAGAACGGGTACGTTTCAATGCTGTAAGTTGTTTACAATTTGGTATTCGTTCTTTTTTCGCGGATATTCAAGATGACAAAGCCGTGTACAGCGAGTCTAAGATAACTACTAGAATGCATCATTTCGTTGTCACTGAGATTTTTAGTCCAGTGGTTGTGTCGATGGACTGCCAATCCAGATACTTGGGTTCAAATCCCACCTCGGACACTTTTTCACACTCAAAACGGCAATTTATGTGTAGTGAGCAATTGTCACCTGTAGAGGGCAGTATTGTGTTGGGCATCAGTGGAGAGAAGAGAGAAAAGGCAGTCCTGTGGCATAGATCCATGGTTTTCAATGCATGGGCGTTACCCGCTGTGACGTCACACACAGGTTAGAGCATAGACAACTTAAATTCATGAAAAACACGTTCTTTTTATAAAATATAGGATTTTTTTTGCCGGAATCTAACCTGTGTGTGACGTCACAGCGGGTAACGCCCATGCATTGAAAACCATGGATCTATGCCACAGGACTGCCTTTTCTCTCTTCTCTCCACTGATGCCCAACACAATACTGCCCTCTACAGGTGACAATTGCTCACTACACATAAATTGCCGTTTTGAGAGTGAAAAAGTGTCTGAGGTGGGATTTGAACCCCAGTATCTGGATTGACAGTCCATCGACACAATCACTGGACTATCTCAGTGACAACGAAGTGTTATAATCTAGTATTTATGTCATACTCACTGTACACGGCCTTGTCATCTTGAATATCCGGTACGTTTCAACTTACAGCGTTGAAACGTACCCGCTCTGACGTCACCAAGGGCTGTGAAGTTTTTTCGTCTCTAAGGGCGTTGCTATGGGGTTATTTCGATTTGGGGGGATCAGACAAAAAAAACAACAACTGATTTTGAAACTTTTAGTAGTTCGCTTCTAATATAAAATGGTTTTAAAACTGTATTTCTAAATGAATCAAACCCGACATAAGGTCTTTAAGGATGAACCAAATGCAGATGATGAAATTGACCCTAAACGTTCCCCAGATTGGGCTTTCACGGGTTCTTGTAGTTCCACGAGGAGAGCGCGGTGACCCTTTGTGGCCATGGAGATGTGAGAGTCAGGTCTGTGGAGCGACGAGTCTCCTCTTGGTCCATCTCCCTCAAACACTGCAGCAGCTTCTTGGAGCTAAAACACAAAAGAACCAGAGATGACCACACTGCAGTGATGGCTATAGTGTAACAGTGTGAGATCTCATGAATCCAGCTTTATGAAGCAGAGGGCCTGTAGTTTAGGCCTCTTTATGAGTGGTTTCATTGTGTTCACAGAGAAACATGAGCCTCTTCAGTGGCGTATGTGTTGTTTGGTCGAATAAACATTGGTATTACTGGTAGACCTTCACCTGTTTGGGCCTTTGTCCTGAGACAAGCGAGAGGAGAGTGTGGAGAGGAAGCGGCGCAAAGACTCGTCCACAAACTCGTAGAGCGGTGCTTTCCTCCCACACTCACAGCAACAGGGTCCGGACCTCCCAGAGTCCACCTCCACACAGAGACCGGACCAGACCAAGGCTTCGAGCTGAGACACGCCAAACCGCTTCAAATGCTCCTCACAGAACGTGTGCTGACCGAGACCTGGCAACAGAACACAAGTTAGAGTCAGGAAACACCAGAGAGAGAAACCATACAGAGACAAGAGAGAGAGACAATACAGAGACAAGAGAGAGAGACCATACAGAGACAAGAGAGAGAAACCATACAGAGACAAGAGAGAGAGCCAATACAGAGACAAGAGAGAGAGACAATAGATTAGGCCAGAGGTAAACCATAGACAGAGAGATACTAGAAAGAAATACTAGAGAGACAACAGCGAGAGTCAGACCAGAGAGAGACCAGAGAAAGAGACCAGAGAGAAACCAGAGAGAGAGAGATCAGAGAGAATCCAGAGAGAGATCAATAATGTAAACTAGTAAAATGTAGTCAGGCTTACCTTCTCTGTTGTGCTGTGAGTCTGGACCCTTCAGCTGTGAGGCCAGGGTGCTCAGCGAAAGCACGATCTCATGGACTCTGCTCTGGGTCAGCGAGTACGAGTGCTGCATCTTCATCATGAGATACGAGAGGAGGTGGACCAGCGTCTGGGTCTGTGTGGGTCTGAGGGACATCCAGAGGACAGGTCAGGACAGAGGAAAGACCACCACATCACAACAGTCAGAGGAACACAGCAGCTGTGGGGAAGGAGACCACGACTCAAGGCCTTGGAAGACTGGAAACTACAGAAGGAGCAGGGACAGATGGGTTCAATGGAACGAATAAGTAAACAGAAGGAAATATGGGCTGTCTGTGTTCTTTAGAATTCTGTTGACTTCATCACAAAATAAATCATGTGATCCTTTGTGTTAAAAAGAGCCCTGCGAGTCACGTTTTGAGTCAGGGTGGTACTCTCTTAACACTTTTCTGTCTGAAAAAGTTGTGACAGAAGCCAAAGAAAACCAGAGCATGTGAAAACTAGTGATAGAAGCAGAACCGCACTGCAAAAAGTGATATGTCATTTATCTTAACTTGAGCACATTCTGACTTCTTAAAAGAAGATTTGGCAATGGGAAAAGCTAAAATATCTTGTTAAAATGTCTCCCTTGGAAGACTAAATGGCTGTGTCCCATTGGCAAATCTGGTTTAAAGAGTGTACTCATATTAACCCTTGTATTATGTTGAAAAAAAATTACATTGATTATGTTGCGGGTCATTTTGACCCGAACTGTGTAAATGCTCTCAAAACAGTCAAGAAAACAGGTTAAACCAATAAAAACTTTATATTAGGTTATATAAATATTTAGAAAAGTGACCTACAATAAATTTTTTATTCCAACGCTATATTAAAGAAAAATTTTGTCTAATCTTCTTGTCCTCCTCTCGGGTCAAAATGACAATTCTTCACTCCTTCTTTCCTCTCCTTCCTTTTTCTCATCCTGTTTTCCTTCTCTCTGTTCATCCTTCTCTATTTCCTTATTTTCTCTGAATCCTCCTTATCGTAGGAAAATTGACAATCTGGATCAGCAATAACATTGTCCTCTGTCTCTGAAAAATCCTCTGTTTTTGAAATCTCTTCCTCTACATCATTATCCCAGTTAAAAATCTGTGATAAAGCCTCCTCAGGCTTTATCACAGAAGCTTCTGAAGCTCATTTTTGGGGAGTTTGTCTAAAGCCTAGCGTACATCGACAGAGTAACTAGAGACAACTAGTTGAAGGTGGCTTTTGGCAACTGAGAGGAGATGATGGAGATGATCAGTTGCTGAAATCGGTCGATGTGAGCGCTCTTACAACTGGAGATAAACAGTCAATCTCCGGATTCAGTCAGTTGCCCGTGTTCTACTTTTCGGCAACTAGTTGTACTCAGATCCGGAGATATCACCTGATGTGCGCGCTCCTAATAGATCCATGGCGCGCTCCAACATGTGTGTATTGCGTCTTGCGTGTATTGCACGCCCTCCACAGTTTATGCCAGAAAACACACTGTAGTTGAGGCCAGTTGCTGTCGATGTACGCGCTGTTATTCCCGAGACTGCCCTGCTACTAGGAATTACCCGTTTTCGCCAGATTGTTGATGTGTGTGGGGCAGCAACTAAAAGGCGACGGATATGAGTTGCCAATCCGATGTACGCTAGGCAAAAGAGATGACATGAGAACAGTGACAAGGACAAGTGTGAGAAAGTTCCCTCTCTTCACACACCTGGCTCTGGGTCTCAGAGGCAATCAAAATACAATGTCAAAAGAGACATGTTTTTTTTGATCAGAACAACTATTTACCCACATTAAAGCGTCTGGGTCAAAATGACCCGCAACATCATCTTTGTATACAAACTCTGCACAGACATTCCACTACACATCAAAGTGTCCAGATTTTACACACCAGTTCATGACCCTAGATGAGGAAAAGTCACCAAATTTCAGCAAGAAAAAGAAAGGATAACCAGTACTTTGATCAACACAAAAACTGAAATGGGTCAAATTGACCCTTAACATAATACAAGGGTTAAGATAAAAACCACTCGATTCAAGCTATTTTGATCTCATATTTTATCACTTTTGGCAGTGCAGGAACTACAGACATGGATTTGAATACAGAGTGTTATTGTTGTAGTGTGAAAGTTACACACCCCAGCTTTAATATCATAAAGCACGGCGTACCTGGAGCCGCGTTCTTTGGACAACCGAGCAGCGATGGAGTGGATCAGTGGGAGGCGACTTAGACCCTGCTGCTGTGAGTCAGAGAGCTCCTCCTGCTGTGAGTCAGAGAGCTCCTCCTGCTGTGAGTCAGAGAGCTCCTCCTGCTGCTGTGAGTCAGAGAGCTCCTCCTCCTGCTGTGAGTGAGAGAGCTCCTCCTGCTGCTGTGAGTCAGAGAGCTCCTCCTGCTGCTGTGAGTCAGAGTGCTCCTCCTGCTGTGCGTCAGAGAGCTCCTCCTCCTGCTGTGAGTCAGAGAGCTCCTCCTCCTGCTGTGAGTCAGAGAGCTCCTCCTGCTGTGAGTCAGAGAGCTCCTCCTGCTGTGAGTCAGAGAGCTCCTCCTCCTGCTGTGAGTCAGAGAGCTCCTCCTCCTGCTGAGAGTCAGAGAGCTCCTCCTCCTGCTGTGAGTTAGAGAGCTCCTCCTGCTGTGAGTCAGAGAGCTCCTCCTGCTGCCTCGGGGAGAAGCCGTGCAGCTCGGTCACGCTGTGGACGAGTGAGGCGGGCAGTGAGGCGGCTGGCGGGCGGCTGGTGACCCACACTTGGGCCTCGGGCAGAAGAGCTCCCTCCAGAAGACTCACCAGTAACGTGGGCACGGGCATGAGCGTGTGGAGGTCCGCCTGAAACACAAGACGGACACTGAGTCATGTGGTCATCAACAAGCAACCCACACTCACACTATTTTGGACTGACCCTTAATCAATCAATACTGGACGGACATTCATAAAACACTGCAAACATATTTTTACTGTACATTTGCCTTTGAGATGAAAAGTCAATGGACTGGAGGGAAATGGTTATCCCTTGACGTTTCAAGAATCTCTTGAAGGGTTTGTATACTTTCTGTATAAACTATGAAAATGCTTCAATAAAGAAAAAAATCTGAGTCTTCAAATGTCAAGGAAAACATTCACATCTTTCTGAAATCAACACACTCAGAACAGTTGACTTGTTTGTATCTCTTGTTAAGGGTTTTAAGACGAGTACCAGTGATTCCCCGGCATGGCGCAGATCCTCAGTCACACCCCACCTCCCTGGATGCCCCCCTCCCAATCCTGGAGCAACACATGTGGCAAAGGTTCAATGGATCAGTCCTGGATCTACAGCCTCAGTCCTGGATCTACAGCCTCAGTCCTGGTCTACAGCCTCAGTCCTGGTCTACAGCCTCAGTCCTGGATCTACAGCCTCAGTCCTGGATCTACAGCCTCAGTCCTGGTCTACAACCTCAGTCCTGGATCTACAGCCTCAGTCCTAGATCTACAGCCTCAGTCCTGGATCTACAGCCTCAGTCCTGGTCTACAACCTCAGTCCTGGATCTACAGCCTCAGGCCTGGTCTACAGCCTCAGGCCTGGTCTACAGCCTCAGTCCTGGTCTACAACCTCAGTCCTGGTCTACAGCCTCAGGCCTGGTCTACAGCCTCAGGCCTGGTCTACAGCCTCAGTCCTGGTCTACAGCCTCAGGCCTGGTCTACAGCCTCAGTCCTGGTCTACAACCTCAGTCCTGGTCTACAGCCTCAGGCCTGGTCTACAGCCTCAGTCCTGGTCTACAGCCTCAGCCCTGGCTCTTCCATGGGAGTGGATCTCTTTCTCTTTATGTTTTTTGGAGTGTGGCCTGCTGAAGAGGGAGCTCTAGGAATAGTAGATGTATTCACAAAATCTCTTTGAAAATCGGTTAATCCTTTTGTTTATGGATATGGACCTTTCAGATCTGCTGTTGGCAAAACCAACATTGTATTTTTGAGCTGTACAATAGTAACCTGAAAACATCGTCAGAATCCTGCCTCAGTCCAGTCTGATGAAGGGGATGCTATCTCCTGTGGTCTCTGTTACCTTTGGTGGTGCGTGTGGTGTGAAGTCCAGGGGTAGTCTGCACTCGTCCAGCCCGTCCAAGATGAAGAGGATCCTGAGTTGGGACACATCCGTGAGACGGGACTCTTTCAGCCCGGGACAGAAGCTCCACAGCAGCTGCAGCAGCGAGCAGCTCTGGTTCCGGAGCTGGTTCAGACGAGAGAAGGTCAGAGGAACCAGGAGGTGGACGTCTTGGAGGCATCTGTCCTCGCACCAGTCCAGGACCACACTGCGAACCAGAGAACTCTTCCCCGCTCCGGCTACTCCGAGAGTGAGGATAAAGTGAGGAGGAGATAGGCCTGGTCTGGACCTGAAGACCTCTTCGATGTCCTTGGGAGAACCTTTAAATGTGGATCTGCCTAGTATGGTTATGAAGACCTTGGAATTGGACTGGTCTGGTCTGGTTTTGAAGCCCTCTGTGACTTCAAAGGTAGATTCTTTGGATGTGTCCTCTGCCTGATAAACCTGTTGCTTTACATAAGGTCTGCTCATCTGTGGTTCATAACTCTGCTTCAAACTCCTCTTGAGTTTTCTCCGGTACGACTCCAAGTTTCCGCATGAACCTGAAGCACACAGGGACAAACTTAAGATGGCAAAATGTGACGTGTACTCAGAATCATCACATTTACAAACTGAAGAGGATCAATTTAAGCTGTAGTTTTATTTATGCACTGGTGCACATTGGGGACTTTTGAAAATGTATTCCAATGTGTAATCACAATGTGGTTTTACTGCAAATGGCAAATAAAATGAATCTGAATCTGTAGTGAGTTATTGGTCGTGTTGTAGAGGGAGGAGTTAGTTCTGAAATAACCTGTTAATGCTTTTTAGCTTATAGACCTTTTGAATGTTTTATGTTTACGTGTGATGATTTCTCAAATGCCAAGTTAACCTTGTAGCGTGAGGATAAAATCTTAATACCAGGGTTTATAGACAGTAGCGTGTTATCAGTGAGGACAGCTTTAAACACTGACATTTCAGGTTTGACACGGTTCACAGTGACGACCAAAACAGACCACTGTCACAAGTTTATACAGTGGTCTGTTTTGGTTTTATTGGCACCAAAACAAGATCGGAGAATGAGGCTAACAACATGTGTTACTCTGGTCGAGAATGATCGAAGGGGATCTTATATCCCACAAGACTGACTGAGGACCGTTTGTTGTTTCTGCGATTACTTATTAATGCCATGTCCACACCTAGCCGGGCATTTTTAAAACAGAATATTTCCCCCCCTCCGTTTATAAAATAATTTGCATCCACACATAACCGAACATCTGCGTTTTCAATCACTCTGACGTCCTACGTCGGGGGAAAAACACAAAAGTGGGCGGAGCGTTGATGCAGACGCCGGTGCTTCTGTAGCGGCACTTTTACAGTCACAGAAGAAACTCAAGGTGAAGACATATGTTTACAAGCACTGACCCCCGTCCTCAGCCCTGGTTTGATCCTGGTTTGATCCTGGTTTGATCCTGGTTTGATCCTGGTTTGATCCTGGTTTGATCCTGGTTTGATCCTGGTTAAGCTCCTGTTTTGGTTGTTTTGGAGCGTGAGTCCCCGTGATCACTTTGCTGCTCTCTGATGTGGAGCGAGGATCGCTGCTGTGAACCGCTCGCAGCAGCGATCAGTTTTTAAGGCAGTAAGATCCATGCTTCTTCAGTGATCAGAGGTCACATGTACTGTTTGTTGTTGCTTTGGTGTTTTGGGGCATACTGTGATGTGCAAAAACGCAAAACTCCGGTTATCTCTGTCTACACACAAATGCACAAACAGAATTTTAAAAAATCTACACTTTGCCCGGAGTTTTTTTATATATTCGTTTATGATGCGTTGTCATGTGGATGAGAGGTGCAAACAAAGAAAAATATCTGTGGTTTAGCAGATACCCGGCTACGTGTGGACATAGCCTAAGTTTCAAACAAAAACATACAGATCACTTTTCTGCATTTGCAAATTGTATCTATTATTATTAGCATTAGCTTCAGGTGGGAGCAGTTTTGCAGAAACACAGATGTCAACAGATGGACATTTACAGATGGTTAATGCTGTACTTCAGCAACAGAGAATACGACCAGAATAAACTATAATAATAGCAGTGGGGGAAGTGACAGTTTGATTTGAATAGAGCATCACAATTTCCTACTTCCCTATCGAATGAATACATGATTGTGTTTTTATTTCTGCATCACATCACAACTTCCCCATAAGAACCATAAAGTTGACCTTATCTTATATACCAGGTGTACACAACAGGTTCAAGAGAAGTGCCTTCTTTATGGATCTACGACTTATAGGACCGGATCCCTCTCTCAATACGAGCTTCCCCCAAGGTTTCTTTTTGTGGTTCCTTGTCGATGAACCGGAGCATTTAAAGATGTTTATGGACCATTTATGGACAGTGGTCATCCCGCTCTCTTTGGACCAATGGCTCCTATCTGTATTTTATTGCATTTCCTGTGTTTGATTTGATTCTCATGTCAAATTGTCAATAACACTGGATCAAAGTCTTCTGAGAAGACTGCTGTTGTAATGTAGTGTTGTACAAAATACACAAAATAATTTAATATCGTCATCTAGTGTTTGTGTGTGTAGTTTCCTACAGGCACTGGGCAGCAATTAATTCCAATTCTTGATGGTGATGATACAGGACACACAACATGACACACAGGACACACAACATTCAACAACCAATGGCTCAGAGTGTTTTTCTCTCATTGCATTTCTTGTGTTTGAACTGTTTGATTCTAAGAACGGTTTTGTAAGGTCCTCTGAGATAACTACTGTTGTGATTTAGGGCAATACAAGAATACAGTGCATTCAATTTAGGGCTGACAAACAATTAAAACATTTAATTGAGTTAATTACAGCTTAAAAATGTATTAATTGTAATTAATTGCATTTTGAACTATCGGCAAAATGATTCCATATTTTTCTGTAAATGGTTGTTTGAATGGAAAGATAAATGACAGTTTAGTGAACATATGTACTGTATTTGTTTATTATAACAACAATAAATCCATATAAAATGGCATAAACATTATTGACATTCTGTCTTTCTGTTTAGACTCAGACCAAAACTATTGTTTGTTACAGATGAGGGACATTTCAAAACAGTCTGAGGCAGAATGTCATAAAATCTGTTTGATTTGCTCACAACATTTTTACTTTTGGACACAACCAACATGAACTGGTAGTGCAAGGGAAAAGTTAGGTACCCCAGCTTTAATTTAGCGAGTGCGCCTCGGGAGAAGAGACACGGAGGAGACTGAGGCTCCATAGTTCAGTTTCAGCTGTGTATTTATTGCGTGCATAGGTTACACAAAGACACGCACACAACAAGCAGAGTATTTGCGTGCATAGTCTCGGATATTCATTAATGTGCGTTAACGCGATAATTTTGACAGCCCTAATTTAATTGAAGTGACAGGAATTGATAGAGAGCAAAGGCCGCTCCCCATTGGCCGAACTATTCTCCTCCAGCAAATGGTGATGACAAACTGGTGAAGCTTATTCAAATGGGAGGGACTGTTAATTATGGAGAAAAAGTGGACTTTCTTCAGTGTGTGAGGAGCTGCGGTTTTCCTACCGAGTTTCATCAGGCTCTGGTCCTCCTCCTCCCCAACCTCCTCCTTCTCCCCCACCTCCTCCTCCTCCACATCCTCCACATCCTCCACATCCTCCCCTGAGTCATGTGACTTCAAACATGTATGATCCAAAACCTACACACACACACACACAACATGATCTTGAGAATGTATACTTTAGGCATTTTATCTTTTCAGAAAGTAGTTGGCGACAGGAGCGTTCAAAGTGAGACCCAGAAAGTCTTTGTTTGTGGAGATGTGTTTTTGGCTCAAGGTCCAAACAAGTTATAAAAGTGAAAGTAGACATGCAAAAATGGTCATGCATAAAACAGAAAATCTACATAATATTCCTTAAAATTACTACTATAAACAAGTACACTAAACACCTACAATACACTCTATAGAGGATTAACATAGTACAGAATATAACTGAAATACAGAAAAAAGCATTTGTTGAAAGGCTAACAAATGCTAACTTCTGCAAGTAAACAGTGTGTTTCTATGGTAACTAGCACTAGCTCTTCTCTGGTGGAAAACCAAGTTCAACCAGTCCAAGACCAAGCACCATGGAGAAGAGAGACTTTTATAGATCTGCCATCTTGGTTACCGAAATACATGGTTGAAGAAGACCGCAAATGTACATAAGTCATTACACTTCCAAACTACAAGCCGTCTAACTGACTGCTCTGGGAGTTCTAGTGTTCATTTGGAACTGTTCGTCTGTTTCCTTGATCGTTTGGTCAAAGTGAAGAAAACTGGATTCTGCTGCAAACCTGAACCTGAATAAAATAAAAGCAGAACTCTCACCCTCAGATCAGCTCTCGTCTGCAGAGCTGCTGCTGTGGGGTCTCTGCGGGAACACAAACATATAATAAGGATCATTTTAAAACACATAAAAAAGCACACTCACAGAAACATACACTCATGGATACACATGTAAAGTCACATACACAGAGAGAGACACACAAACACACTTACACACACAGTCACATGCACATACAAAGTCATACACACACACAGAGAGAAACACACACAAACAATCAGACACAGACACACACACAGAGAGAAACACACACAAACAATCAGACACAGACACACACACAGAGAGAAACACACACAAACAATCAGACACAGACACACACACAGAGAGAAACACACACAAACAATCAAACACAGACACACACACAGAGAGAAACACACACAAACAATCAGACACATACACACACACACAGAGAAACACACACAAACAATCAAACACAGACACACACACAGAGAGAAACACACACAAACAATCAGACACAGACACACACACACACAGAGAAACACACACAAACAATCAAACACAGACACACACACTTGTACAGTCACACACACAAAGTTACATACACAGACACACACTGGTGAAAGTCTTACTCTGGGCGTTTGTCGCTGAAAAACGGAGGATCAAATTTGGACCAGTCACTTTTGAGAGAAACACAACCGATTGAAGAACGAACTGAACGATCAGTGGCTGTTTCCAGCACTCTGCTCCTGTCAACAAACGCTGCATCAGTTTGAGAATCGTTTAAGACGACTAGGCTACAGAAGACCAAAGACTTGACCTGTGTACCAGTCCCAGTCTACAATCTGGACTCTCATTCCTTAGGGTTAGCAATGCTTCTAACTTGTTCAGGTTGTTCTGTGCTCAACGTGAGGAGGGGTTACCTGCAGTGCTCAGTCTCATCAGCAGAGGGCGTCGACACTGCTTTTGTGTCGTTCATTTTCAGGTTTTCCTACAAAAGGAAAAACATGCCAAGAGAGAAACCAATGCGTGGTGAGTTCAAAAACAGAAGAAGGAAACAGTGGAACATGTTTTCAAGAAAGATTGTTATGACGTGATGTTGGATTTTTTTACCTGCTGCTTGTGGAAAGACTCAGGGGAAGTTTTGGAGGAAATTACGCCTGATTACGAGAATAAAACACAAAAATATTTGGAATTAGCTATGGCAAATCAGAGAAGAGAGAGTAACACACACAGGCTCTAAAGTCAAGAAAGAGGGACCAGAGAGAGAGAGATCAGAAAAACCAGAGCGAGACCAGAGAGAGCTCAAAAAGAGATTAGAGCGAGCAGCAAGACAGATAATAGAGAGTGACCAGAAAGAGACCAGATGCCCGATGACACACTACGTTCATTGTCAATCACAATAGACCTTTATTCTATTCTGTTCTATTATTGGATAGTATATTTTAGGGAAATTCAAGTGAGTCAGTCCAGAGGTACAACCTAAGTATTAGTCATTAGATTAAAATACAAAGGCGACCTCTTCAAAGTCGTCGTCGGTCTTGGACTTCCTCTGGTCGCTGTTCCCCATCCGCTGAACCTGCAAACACACAAACACACAATCGTCGTCATAAACATTTCCCTTTTCCCCAACTAAGGGACAAATAAAGGTCCTCTTATCACAGCACTGGTTACAGAGATATTTGTGGGACATTAGCTGTGGGGTACCTCAGGGGTCAGTACTAGGACCCACAGTATTCCCTATGTACATAAATTGTGTGTGCGTGCGCGTGTGCGTGTGCGTGTGCGCGTGCGCGTGTGCGTGTGCGTGTGCGTGTGTGTGTGTGTGTGTGTGTGTGTGTGTGTGTGCGTGCGTGCGTGCGTGCGTGCGTGCGTGCGTGCGTGCGTGCGTGCGTGCGTGATTGTTCTCACAGGTGGTATGACCTGTTCTGTCAGACATAACATTCCTAGCAAAGCTCTGTCTCTTGTCAGTAAATCAACCATAACGATTACACAACACTCTTGCACACACATGAAGTTTGAATTCCATGTGAAACTCGAGCTCTCAAGATCAACTTTTTCAAACAGAAAAATGACAACGAGAGGTGTTCTCAGCCCAATAAATCAAATAGTGACTCACAGGGTTCTTAAACAACCTGTTAATATATTTTCCGATAAGATGAAGACATGTTTTATTTTTCCAAGGCTCTTTCTATCATCATCATTTATCAAACTATCATTATCATTATTGGAGAATCAGATTTGATTTACCATTTGACTGTAAAAATATTTGTAGCATTGATAAAAGTATAATGCTGCTGAGATAAGAATGAATAGACGCCGCTGTTGTTTTATGCCGTAAATCCGGGGCTGGCTCCATGTGATAATTTTACTGTAATACTTCATTTCCTTGTTCCTGTTCTCATAAAAAATGCAGGAAGTTTCAATTTCTCAGAAAGTTTCAGTTACAGGTCTAACTGCTCTTGGGTTTAAGTTTAGCATGTGTTTTATTTACTTTTGAATCTCACTGCTCAACAAAAGTTTTGGACCTGTCATGCCAACATAACGAACTTAGTAATACTATATCAAGAACTTAAAATTAACAGTATAATTTTTATTTAATATTAAGAAAATAATCAATTGGAATAACGAAATAGTCCTTGTTAAGTTTGGACTTATTTCCATCAAATCCAGCTTCAGATTCATTTTTATTTCACCACTATAGAAATAAAACAAATATGATTTAATTAAAAACACTTAGGTGGTGCTGTAAAACATTTGTTAACACTGTATTGTTATACATCTGTTTTATTATTTTTTATTCATGTGAGTTATTTATAAGTTAGCTCTTGGGCAAAATAGATGTTTTTGTTAAATTTGTAAAACAGTTGTATTTCTTGTTCAGCACTTTAAATCTGAGTTAGATTTCTAAGTTTGAACTACTGTAAAAAGTGTATTTACAGAAAAATCCAATATTACTGTATCGATACATCGTTCAAAATCTACTGTATCGTAACGAATTGTATCGTTTTCAAAATTAAGATATTGCTTTTTATCGAAATAATTTGCTTTCATATTGATACAGATTGTATCGTTCTAAAAACGTATCGTTACACCCCAATTGTTAGAATAAATGTATTGAGTGTATAAAGCGTTTTACTGATGTGGGCTTTTGTTTCGACAGCATTAGCTTCACGCCACAAGTGTTGCTAACATGGTTTCTAAGGCAAACTGGAGTTTTCCTAGCAAATGAAGATATCTGGTCAATCCCTATACGGCTCATATCTGGATGTAAAAGGAAATATGAAAAATATATAAACACCGGGATCACAGAGAGCACTAAAAGGAGCCAAAGTGAGTTGGAGCAAAACTTCACCATGAGCACTTTCCCATTGGTCTCCGTTGACCAAGCGGGAGAGCGTTGTCCATGTATATACAGTCTATGTTTATTTCCTACACTGGGCCAGTTAAATGATTGTATCTCAATTCAATTCAATTTATTCTTGTACAGACCCAAATCAGAGAAGAGAGAGTAACACACACAGGCTCTAAGGTCAAGAAAGAGGGACCAGAGAGAGAGATCAGAGAAACCAGAGCGAGACCAGAGAGAGCTCAAAAAGAGATTAGAGCGAGCAGCAAGACAGATAATAGAGTGACCAGAAAGAGACCAGATGCCCGATGACACACTACGTTCATTGTCAATCACAATAGACCTTTATTCTATTCTGTTCTATTATTGGATAGTATATTTTAGGGAAATTCAAGTGAGTCAGTCCAGAGGTACAACCTAAGTATTAGTCATTAGATTAAAATACAAAGGCGACCTCTTCAAAGTCGTTTAAATTTATTCTTGTACAGACCAAATCCAAACAGCAGTTTTCTCCGAGGACTTTTACAAACTGTTGATTTTACCAACACAGATCAGAGAATCAGACAGTATCTCCGCTTCATAGATCATAGTTACAGCCCCATGTTTACAGACAGATGTCCCACTCTGCTTCTGTCTGTGTCGTGTCCACTCACCCTGAAGAAGTGCAAGAAGTTCATCACCTTCAGCTCCAAACTTCAACTGCTGATCCTTCTCATCCGACTCAGCTCTCTCTGCACAAAGACACATCAGAATCATTCAGCAGGACAGACACATCAGAGTCATTCAGCTCATGGTCAGATGGTCTGGCTCACACTAGCATCAGCTCAGTCATGTGTGTCTCATGGCTTCAGGTCAAAACAACTTGTGTTTAGTTGTGGTTCCCTTTGTGAGACTAGTTTCTGATTCAGTTTTTGCCATTTACAGTAAAACCACATTGGAATTGAAGAAGATGACAAAGTCTGGGATCGCGTCTTTAATTCAGACAGAAGACATGTTTTATTGTCGATGGTAGAGACAGCACAAACAGCACGAACAACAGAATGCAAGTGTATTATACAGAGCGGAGGCATGGAGACCTCCAATCAGCAGCTGCCACGGTGCCATGTAGCTTGGCCTTCAGATAGACAAAACATGAAGTGGAAAAGTATAGGCTTCTGCACATTGATAGAATGATGAGTTTAACCTTAACAAAAGTTGCTTAAAAGTGTTATGAAATCTCACAGAATAACTGTATAAAGGCTGCAGGAGCGGATCCCTCTCTCCCTGAAGTTTCTCACTCCTGGTGTTTATACTATGATATTTAGTTTTACAAAGTCTACATATGAGCCATGACCAATCATATGCCTTGATATACCTTAGCCTAGCAACAAGTCTGCCCCTGTTACTGCGTGAAGCTAAATGTTTTAGCAAATGCCCATATAAAGATATTAGCTCCAGCTAGCTTATGTTCAAATCGGCTTCTTCAGCATTAAAGTAAACACTGCAGTGATGTCACACTCGGTCAGTCCACTCCTAATATAAAGTATTTAAACCAAAGGATTTAAGAAGCAAAAAAAAATTGAGTTCTTTGGGACTTTTTTTTCTTGGTAGCCCGCGTGAATTTAGTCTGCAGTACCACGGGCGCCCCCTGTGCCCAAGGGTGGGACAGCTATAAGCTAGTAATACCCTGTCCAGTTATTATTATAGATCCATGGTTAAAACAGGTGTGTCCACGTCACTGTCTGGGGATTCAATATCCTCAGACAGTTCAATGTCTCATTCACACTGAGCAAAACCCCCGTCTCCTGTTCCTCTCACACCGATGACACAGACTCATGTGTCAGAACGACTCAGCCTCAAGGTATGACAGTGAGAACACGCCGACCAAATATAGCCTTTGAAATCCCTGAAGGAGCAGCTCTTTGTTTTAATACTGTAAAAACCCTCACATACACTTTTCTATCCTCCTTACGAGTGCTGCTGCAGCTGTCAAAAGCCATGCATACACTGTAAAATACAGCGGCAGAGGACACTGAGGGACAGGAGCAGGACTGAGGGATTCAGGAAGACCACAGTAGTCCTCTGAACGGATCACTGTGGTACACGTAAGTCACAATAGTTATCTCGGACTCTAGTCTCACTCTCTGATCTCTTGCTGGTCTCTCTCTGGTCGCCCTCTGTCCTTACTCTCTCGCTGGTTTCTGGTCTATTGCTGCTCTCTCTCTCTCTCTCGCTCTGGTCCCACTATGATCTCTGTCTAGTCCTTCTCTGGGCTCTCTCTCTGATATCCCCCTAATCACTCTCTCGCTCTAGTCTCTCTCTCTGGTCTCTCTCTGCTCACTCTCTCTCTCTGGTCTCTCTCTGCTCACTCTCTCTCTCTGGTCTCTCTCTGCTCACTCTCTCTCTCTGGTCTCTCTCTGTGAGTAGGAACAATGATGGAGAAAACATGTATTCAAACCTGTAGTTCTGATCTTTGGAGACACAGCCGCACACACAGACTTTTATTCATTTAGTACAATCAACTTTCAACCACATCAAAGATGAGACGATGGTGTGGGGGCTCGTCTGTAGCTTCAGGACCCCCCCTGAACAGTCAAACTGGGACTGATGCAATAAAGGCTTAAAGGCGTGGCTCACGTAGATTAACTACT